AATTCTCCATCCAGTGATAGTTCTTGTAGGAATTAAGTCATTATTTTCATTAACTACTACAGTTATTCTCCCTTTCTTCGGCACACATTGAACGGGGCTTACCCATTTGCTATCAGAGATTGGAAATACAATACCTGTATCAAGCCACTTAATCACTTCTTTTCTTACTACCTCTTTCATGATTGGATTTAGTCGGCGTTGTTGCTCTACACTTGGCTTGTGTCCGTCCTCCATGAGGATTTTATGCATGCAGAAAGCTGGACTAATGCCTTTAATGTCAGACATTGTCCACCTAATTGCTCACTTGTACTCACGTAGCACCCTCAATAGCTTTTCTTCCTGCAACTTAGACAAGTGGGAAGAAACAATAACAGGTAAAGTGTCAGAACTACCCAAATAAGCATATTGAAGGTGAGGGGGTAGGGGTTTAAGCTCCAATTTTGGAGCTTCTTCAATTGACGGCTTTGGAGGGGGGCCACTTGGCCTATTCAGGGGCTCAAATGGGTGTATTCCTTGCATGTAAGCACATGATGCATCTAGGATATGCATCATCTCCTCAACCTTATCATCAATCATCAAGCTATCAAACAACATGAGTGCTTTTTCTAGAGAGTTGTCTAGATATACACTCGTGTCAAGAAGTTGCTCATCCACCTCCACAACAGATATCATAGAGAGCTCCTCATAGTGGCGGGGAAGTTGGATTGCTTTGTAGACATTAAAGACTGCTTCCTCGTTGTCCACCCTCATAATCATTTTCCCTTCTCTCACTTTAATTATTGCATCACCAGTAGCCAAGAGAGGTCGTCCCAATATGATTGGAACTTGTTCATCAGCCTCAAAATCTAGAATAATGAAGTCAGCTGGGAAGATAAATTTCCCAATTTGCAGCAGCACATCTTCAATCACTCCTTCAGGGTAGGCTATGGACCTATCAGCTAATTACAACATCACAGTGGTTGGTCTTGGATCTCCCAGACCCAATACTTAAACAAGGACAATGGCATCAGATTTATGCTCGCCCCCATATCACAAAGAGCACGACCCACATCAATATTATCGATTCGCACCGGGATGGTGAAACTGCCAGGATCCAAAAGCTTTTGAGGAAGCTTGTTTTGGACCCTTGAGGTGCACTCCTCAGTAAGTGCAACTGTCTCGAACTCAGTCAATTTTCTCTTGTGAGCCACTATATCTTTTATGTACTTAGCATACTTTGGAATTTCACGAAGTACATCCACTAATGGAATATTTAATTGAACCTGACTCAACATAGAGAGAAATTTGTTGAACATGCGATCGTCATTCTTTTTCTGCAATCTCTGGGGGAAAGGTAGTGGTGGCCTTGCAGCCTCCACTGGCTCTGAACTTGCATCATTTTTCTTTGACTCGTATATTGCCTTAGGGGTCAGCTCCCCCTCAGGTATAAGTTTGTCCTTTCTCTTCTTTGGCACTTCCTCTAGTTCCCTCCCATTTCTGAGTGTAACTACATTAACTTGAGGGTTCTTCTCTGTATCACTGGGAAGAGAGCCTGTAGGTCTAGTATTTTGATTTGCTGCTAACTGCCCCATTTGCCTCTCAAGATTTCTGAAATCGGTCCTGAGCTGTTGATTGTCAAGTAACAACTTTTTTAGCAAGTCATTCGTACTCTCTTCTGTTTGTTGGGGTGGCTTCTGAGGATGATTGAAATTTCCTTGAAGCCTATACTAATTCTGATTCTGTTGATTTCTGCCCCAGGAGAAGTTAGGATGATTCCTCCAATTTGGATTGTAAGTGTTCCCATATTGTGCATGCTGATTCATCGGACCTCTGTTTTGTTGCCCCACATAGTATATAGATTCAGGATTCGTGGGGCACATGTCACTCATATGACTGTCACCACATAGTTCGCAGCAAATAGACATTTGATGTACATGTTGCATCTGTTGTGTTTGTTACATTGTCATTCTGTTCATCTGATTTGCCAGCTTTGCAATATCTGCTCTCATGGCTGAGAAGTCATCAAGCTCGATCACCCTGGCTGCCTTCTGTTTAATTTCTCTTCTTGCGTCCCCATCTCCTTGCCAATTATGATCATTAGCAGTGAAGTTATTTAGCAAGAGTTGTATTTCACTATACGGCCTCGCCATGCAACTACCCCCACAAGCTGAATCAAGATTCATCTTTGATGCCTCGTCTAGCCCATCAACAAAAGTGTGACCCAATACCTCATCAGTCTGACAATGATGCGGGCAGTCTCTGAGTAGCTTCTTGTATCTTTCCCAAGCTTGACGAAGTATCTCGCCATCCCGTTGTTGGAACCCATGAATTTGGCTCCTCAGCGATTTTGTCTTCTTAGTAGGGAAAAACTTGATTAGGAATTTCCTTGCTAAATCATCCCAAGTGTGGAATGAGTTCGGGGGCTCCTTTTGCAACCATTCCTTAGCTTCCCCCAATAATGAAAAGGGAAATAGTGTCAGCCTAACATAGTCCTTGGAAACGTTCGGATAATTGTAAGTGTCCGTAATTTCCAAGAAGTTCTGAATGTGCCTCTGCGGGTCTTCATGAGATAGACCCACATATTGCCTTATGGACTGAATCAGCTGTACCATGTACTGTTTGAGTTCAAAATGCCTCGTGATATCAGGCTTCACGATAGCCTGAGTCATATTAGCAAGATTGGGCCTTGCGGCTTCCTCATTACCTGCCATTTCTATTGGCTGTGGTTGAATTACGATGTCCAACTGTCTTTCTATTCTCGTTCTAGCTTTGACTTCCCTCCTCACTCTATGAAGTATTCGTTCAATTTCTGGATCAAAAGGAAGGAGGTTGTTTGCACTTCTACTCCTCCGCATTCAAGAGAAGATCCTGCGTTAACACAAACAAGGCAAACTGAAAATTAAAACTTGAACAAATAAGTAATAAAA